TATTTAACCAATATGCTGCGATTTCCCATTCCTGTAACAAAACACAAGTACCAGCAATGCTGTTCCCAGGCAGAAATCACAAATCCTCATAACAGGATTATTAATCAGACATCAACCTTCCACAGTCCCAAAGGCCCCGGAGTATTAATCAAGATGTTTATGATTTCTTGTTTTTCTGAACCTCAGGTTGTAGGATTTTGACAGAAAGGTTCAATCTACATTCTGCTTCTTTTTTAACCCCCGGCCACAGGAACCCACACGTACAAGCAAACGCCTACGGCTACACAGATAAGCTATTCAAGTGTAAAATGACATTTTATAAATTAAACCACAGAACTTCCAAAAAACATGCAATTTCCTGCCTAAACTGCAACTTTTCTACAACACTGGGTAAATCCCCTCCTTCTACAGTGACCTCTAAGCCACAAATAGGTTTTGAGCACAAAGGCTGGAAGCAGGCACAGCCGGAGGGGTTTGTTAACCAAAAACCAGAACTTTAAACACTTGTTCTGTTTTAAGGACACTGAAGATAACCCCAGGGAAGAATATAGTGGTTTTTTTTTTTAATTTCAGACTATAGGTGAGTTATCACTGAGGTCAGAGAAATCAAGAATACCTCAGCTTAACCATGATAAAACCAAACAGAAACGTTTTCATACTTACCACTTCAAGGAAAGTAAGCTAATCTGCTTTATTCAGCATTATGCCCTGGAAAAAATATCACTAATCCTGGCTTGAGGTAAAAATTGTAATAGCTTTGGTAATAATTTTCTGTGCCTCTGCTCTCTTCATTAAAGATGCTTTCACATTTCATATTAGCCCAAGCTTTTTACAGGCACAACCACTCCTGAGCAATTCCTATGTGACCTAAGAATTTGCATTTCCTACAGACTTGCTGGAATATAGCATTATCTGACATCTTTCTTGTTCCTGTGGATGAGTATTTTCATACAAAAAAAGCTGTGCCAACCTCCCACCTTATTCCACCAGGATACAACAGCTATAGTTGCATTGACCAATAAGGTGATAGGATACATGAGAAGTTCTAAATTAGAAATGTGTTGAGATTTGCACTTAAAGGCACAGCTAAAATCTTCCTGTTTCATACTCTGATTACACCTACATTTGTTATCCAAAACTGATACAGTGATTCTTCAAAAAACATGTCAGTTTTATATATTTCTATAAGTGCACAGATCATATTTAAAATATTTTTTTATTTCATGGACTCACAAAGTAGTTTGGGTTGGAATGGACCTCTGAAGGTCATCTAGTCCAAACCTCCCTTCCACTAGACCAGGTTGCTCTGAGCCCCATCCAGCCTGGCCTTGAGTGTTTCCAGGGATGGGAATCTGGTGAACTAAGTTAGTCATCTGTTACAGGACTGGATTAAACACATTCTTCTGCACATCATCAAAGGGCAGAAGACTGAATTTCCCCCCATGTTTATTTTGTATTCACAATGAAAAACAGAGAACTGCATAGAAATGGAAGCATTTTGCAGAAATATTGAGGACATCTTAGGTACATACATTAAGTAGCCCTATGTTATCCTTCATTTTAAGAATACTTGGATTGAATTTATTTCGATTTAAAAATTCAAAGAAAAAGAGCTAAAAGTTATACAAACTGAAAAGTGTGCAAGGAAATCTGTTTCAGTGCACAGTATAAAGTTATATTTGTGAAATCATTAGATAATTAGATGTCTCATTTATTTTATTGCCAAGAGCACTTTCTGTTTTCCATGAACTATGGATGCTATTTTCCCCCAGCACAGTGGATCTTTGACACCCTGAGACAAGAAAGCACCATCCTGCTTTAATCTGGGGATGGTAACACTTTCCACTTTTGCAGGGCTGCTTCCCAAAAGCCTCCATCTCTAAAACCTTTCCTATGCCAGCAGCAGGTAGCACTTAAAGGCATCACTTCTTTTATTGCCACTGTTGATGTATTTTGCCTCCGTGCTCTTTGTAACATTTATCCCTGCCCTGATACATGCTGAATGAAATGGAGAAATAAGAATTTCCCTGTGAAAACAGTGTGTTGCAAACAACTGCAAAGTGTTACAGGCTTTGCATCAGTCCTGCAGGGCAGTGCCAGCTGTAAATGGCACAGTGACAGCACATGCCACTCCCCAGCTGTCAGAATTGGGCAATAACTCTTGGCTACAGCTGGTGAACATGTATTCCATGAAATCTGTGCTTTGCAGGCTGCACACACACTGTTCCCAGAGGTCAGGGGCAGCATGGAGAGCTGCTTCTGTGGGGTGAGCTCATTTCTAACAGGACTCGCAGCCAATTCTGTCCAGCCAAAGCATTTGGTCGCTGCTTCCAAGCAAGCACTCTGGGAATTTATCCTGGCACTTAGTAACATCACATGCTTATTGCATAGCTGAATTCCTAAGTTTAAGACCTTAGGGCGAAAAAAAAAAAAAAAAAAAAAAACAAAAAAAAAAAAAAAGAAAAAAAAAAAGTATCTAGAAAAGAATATTTAAGGAAATGGTCTGAAAACGAAAAAGCACCAGAATTACAGACATGTCAGACTAATTCAAAATAAAGGCCAGCTGTGTTCTATCTGCATGTTCTTGGGTTTAGGTCAATGACTTACAAGTTACAAGTGTGTTTACTACACAAATAGAACATAAACACTTCCACAGAATCTATTTTTACATTGTTGAGGAAGAAGTCTACAAATAGTCAATCACATATTCCTGAATTGTTTCTTTTGGAAAATAGTTTTTGTTTCTGCAGCAGTGGTTTGGAATTCAGGCTGTTAAGTCCAGGCTTTCAAAATGTTCATTCTTCCTTTTTCTATTGGTAGGCAGAACAGCACTCACCTACTTCAAAGAGCTGGTGAAAAATCCCCATATTTTAGAAAAAATGCTGTATTTTAGAAAAAATGCTGTGAGAATCATTAATGGATAGCAGAAACTTAGAAGGATCCTTGCCATATTTGATTGTGTATGTATGTGCTAATTCCCATGGTTGAAAAAACGTCTCTGTAACTTTCATAATTAAATTAAGTCATATCAGGTTATTCTAGTGTGACCTCTGAAGAACTGCAGAAGTAGAGTTGCTGATAATTTTGCAATTAGTAAAATAATAATAAAACATATGCTGTGTGGTTTATGCTGAGTGGAGGGGACAGATGAATTTCTTGCTTATTCAAGAAATAACACAAGAAACCTTTTGTCTTGTATCAATTAAAACAGCTTAACATTTGGTTCCCAGAGAAACCAGTTGCTTATAAAAACTGATTGACAGCTAATTAGACATAAATATCTTCCCAGAAGAATCAGTCAGCTGTTTGTTTGGGTTGAGCACATGTGATACTTATTACTTCCTATTTTTCATCCAAATCCAGCAGCTGGTACCTTGTGACTCACAAGCAGGCCAGTTCATTCTTGCAGTTCCTCACTGCCTTTCCCATTAACACACTTAAAGAGAAACTGCACATCAGCTGGTATTTTCCAGTACTTACACTTAAATGTCTTTACCATGGACTCTGGGGTGTTTTTTTCCCTATATTCACTATAGAATGTTATGAAAATCACTGATTTCACCAGACTAATGTTGAGAACAGCTAAATAAATTT